GGGCACAGGTGGGCGGAGCTAGTGGGCGCACTGCTGGGCACAGGTGGGCGGAACTTGCGGGTGGCACTGCTGGGCACCGATCATCAGGGCACTGATCATCAGTGTCCTGATGATTGGTGCCGATCCCCGCTGTGACAACTGCCGGTTCTCGGCAGTACTTTCCTCACGATCTGACAGCGTGAGGAAAGTGCAGCCGAGAACCGGCACTTGCATTTCCCTGTGATCAGCGTGTCATTGGACACCGCTGATGATCACGTGGTAAAAGGCCGCTGGGATCGGCCTTTTACCACATCACGTGATCAGCTGTGTCCGTAGGACACAGCGATCACGGAGATCGCCGGGTGCGCGCCCCCTGGGGCGCGCAGAGAGCGCGTTCTGGGGGGACGTCATATGACGTCCACCCAGAACTGGCCGGCCGCAGTGAAGCCGTCATTCGGCTATCTGCGATCGGCAACTAGCTAGAATATACATTTTTGGGGTCATTACAAATGTAGCACCCTCCTATTCAGCTAGGGGAAACTTGACCTCAATTGTTAGTGAGGAGGGCAGAGTAGCAGCCTGGGTGTAATAGCTAGCAAACTATGTCAGAGCTAAGAGGCTCTTCAGACCAGCCCTCTGGAATTTCCTCCTGCTCTGGAACTTTGGAGAAAGGTCTAGAAGCAGTGGGTGGATATATGAGGAGTGGCTGATCTGCACATCTGAGGGATCCTGGCCAATCCCCAACAGGAGGCTTGGCAAGGGGGCTGGAAACCCTTAAAAGTGAGAGAGCCTGCTCAGCAACAGGAGAGATCAGGTGGAAGAAAGAAAGGATGTGAGGGTTAAGGCAGGAGCCTGGGAAAGGACCCAGATGGAGAGGAGGTCAGCTACAGGCAGTGGAGCTTGGAAGTAAAAAAACTCAGACCCTCCCCAGCCCCCTGAGAGAGGACCACCTGTGTAGCAGGGAAGGAGCGGCCCAGCTAGAAGGCCTGGTAGCAGCCTCCAACCCATCAGCTGCACAGGTGGCAGACTGAGTGAGTAAGCCTGAACCCCTCTGGGCCAGATAGGGGAAGGAGCACTCTGGTGGGAAACCAGATTCTCCACCTACTGGGATTGTCTTATTCCTTAAAGTGATAAGCACTGGATCCCCCGCTCAGGGATTCCTCCAGACAGCTGGGTAGAGAAGAGGATTTATCGGGGGTCTAGGGTGGTTCTACAGGAGATGCTGGCTAGCTCTCCAAAACAGACTGTTTGTTTACAGACTTGTAAATAGTTCCAGGAATTTGTCCTCAGTTTCTCAGTTCCATTTGGCATCTCATACACCCCCTGCCCCATCCAAGTTGAAATTCCCCTAATAAAACCTAAAAACCAAGCTAAAGCACTGATTACTGACTCCTGGATGCAAGTCTGTGGGTCTATGTGTTGTCTGGCTCTGCAAGACTATAGGGGGATCCAAAGCGTCTGCAACTCCTAATGGGGTAGTGCTACACGAATAAGGATTTTTTTTGTCGTCCTTTAAAGTCCCCAAATTCAGATATGTAATTTAAAATGTAAGATCACTGATAGTCTTTCAAATGTAAAAGTACATATTCAGCCCAAGGAGTAAAGAGGTCCACCAGACCATAAGTAATGAATACTTGGTTGGGGCAATTGCTTGAATTTTCTTAGATTTTTCCCTCCATTAGTCAAGTAATCAAATAAAAAACGTGCTTCATCTGTTTATAATACTCAGAGTACTAGTGTGATTGGCCTCATGTGGTCTTTGCTCCCTATATAAATAATCTAAATGTTATTGGATAATACTCAGACTGTATAGACCAGTAGTTTCCATACTGCGGCCCTTTGCTTGCCTTTATCCAGCTCTTGGGTCATTTTTCCTCCAAATGACACCAATAATGTGACACCATTGTTCCGACTGACACCATTGATGGGCATTATGCCTCCCACTCATACTTACACTGATGCACTATTCCTCCCACTAAAACTAATGATAGCGCATTGTTTGTCTGGCCTCCCTAAAGCAGGACAATACACTGGCCCTTTGTTTGAAAAATGTGGTGACTCCTATTATAGACAACGCCTTTTTTAATAATTTTCCCCTTAAAGTCCTTTCTTTATGACTTTTCACATAGGTCTGTGAAGTTAGGGTTGAAGATGAAGATTGCTGAAATTACATATTGCATGACCTGCAGGCCAAAATACATGGAGTATCTTATCAGTTCAGCTTTCTCCATGTGACAGCATTACTAAGTGGGTGAAACTAGACTCTTTACTTTTTACTAAATTGAGTGGGCAATGTTGTTGCCTTTCTGCCTACGATACTTCTGTGAACTACAGGACAAGTGCCCCCCAGTTTACTGTGGTCCTAACAAACTTCCTCTCTAAAGATGGGTACACACAGATTGAACTTCAACTGGTTCAGTTTTGATCTGTGTGTGGCTCCCCCTGTTTGACAAAGTTGATTGGTAGATCAGCTTCTGTTGAATGGGACTGTTGGAAAGCTTTCATTTGAGCAGCTGCTGCAGCCAATCAGCTTCAGCGCTGATCAGTGTATTCTGACAGCAGAAGAGTCTCCACTGTCACAATACAATAGCACAGCAGGGAGGATTCCTCCATCCACCTAGCTGGTGTGGAATGGGGAAATCTTTTTGTTTTTTTATTTTTCTGTATATCCAGCTTTAGAGTGACAATGCTGCTCCATTGATACATTACAGTGAGTAAGTATTGGTTACCCTAGGGAAAAATCACCAGGTAAAAATAAAGAGAAAAGGTGAACTTTATCCTTTAAACTGGCCATACCTGGAAGCCAAAATCTGAGCTGTGGTTGGCCTGTCTCTTGTTCAGCCAGTGGAGATGAAAAAGGAAAATCTTAAGATGACCATACACTATTAGAATTTGAGGCCAATCAAGAGACCACAATTGTCCCTTCTCTAAGGAGCCAAGTCAAATATTGTTAGTCAAACAGTGCCTGGAGCCAATCAGCTGCAGGCATGGCTTCGGTATTCTGACTGTGTTGATGGAGGAATTTGTTCATTTCTTTTCTTCAGCCTGAAGGCTATTAGTGTATGGTCAGCTTTAGGCTAAACTAAACCATCCAGTTGGCAATGCAAGCCTATAGGACAGAACAGCTCCTAATCCTTGTATACGTGTTGCCCTAATCTCAATATAGTCTAGATGAAAATCTGGTTCTGATTATTACAAATGTACAAATGCTAGATCTTCTGGCTGACTGACTAACACTTTTTCTTTAAGGTTTACTAAGCACTCTAACACCTATCACATAGATATACTAATGAAGTACCGTATAAAATACTTTATTCATGCACACTATGCACCTTCACTGTGGAAACCCTTGACTTCTGTAATATAGGTCGACTCCCAACCACATATGAAATGTCTCTTGCTATAATGGCGTCCTGTTCTTACTAAGCCCCACCCTTTCTTCCTCCTAAGCCCCACCCCTTTGATGTGTGTTGTGGTTAATTCAGTAGCTTTATTAACTTATTGCAGTCCACACATGACCCAGAATGTGGAAAATTACACCCATCATCCTTCAATGTTTGCATTATTGCATGAGAACAAATTAGGTTAATGTTTTTCTAAACAGTATAAAGCAGAGCTTAAATAAAAACATTTCAGAACATATTTTGCCTAGCTCAGCTAAGGCTCCCATTTAGTGCTGGAAGCAACCAAGGCCAGACTAAAAGGACCAGCACTAGACACTGTGTATGATTATTGTTAGAAGCTTTCCTTAACCTAATATCTAATATCTTCTTATTAACAGTACTAACATGTATGGATGAGTTGGATCTTAATAGAATAATTGAGTTATTATATTTCTATTTGTTCTAAATTGGGAAAAGTGAGTAATTAGACTTCAGAGTCTGTGAATATACATATGAACATATATCTTGGGTTTTTCCTTTACATTCAAGCCACATATGAGAGCAATTAGCTATACCTTCCCCCATCCTCCCCCATCTATGTAAGAGATAAAGTTACACTCAGACTTTAAGAGAAGTAGATTGGAGGTTTTGTTTTAATACCTCCTGTTGGTGTCAATTATCTTAGTGGGACTACAAGAGAATACCAACCCACTTTTAGGAGATGGTGGGGGCTGGATTGCTCTTTTAAGAGCAGAACAAAGACTTTTTAAGGTCACACTTTGCTAGAAGCCTTACACACTACACACACATATACATATATACAATCTTATTATCAAGAACATAACTATATTTTTTGGACATTATTTAAACATTCTGTATGCCAATATTTTATTTCTAATTTTATGCAACATTATTATTAAATCATCTTTTTGAGTTTATGCAAGAAGTGGAAGGACTTTCTATCTGAACATTTCTCATCAATACAAGTTAATAAAATATCGAGACAATACGATATTTTACAATTATGCACAGACCTTCTGTGCTGTGTTTTAGTAGTCTGGCAAAAGACACCTTGGATAGAAGCCTTTGTTGGGTACAACTGTTCCAACAGGTGAATCAGTGGCACAAAACTGCTGCAGACACCAAATGCAGAATTGTCTTTACATACCTGCAGTAGCTCCAACACCCTGCATTTACAGCCAAGTTACTGTTTTGACAACAGGGTTTTTGACACTTCCTGGAGTGTCTGGGCTTTCCACACCCTCATACCCCCATGAATTTTCACCTGTTATTTTGGTAGGCTGCATCACTGGCCAACAGGAACGTGCAGGAGGCAGAAAGGGCCAGGAAAGCCTTGGCACTAACTGTGGCATTACCACTGCCCCTACACAAAAGTAGCTCAATCTTGATACAAAAAAAAAAAAAAACTGGCGATAAATCTCTAGGAGTTGCAAGTAATTACCAAACAAATGAAACAAAAGGCTCTCTATGTAGTAAACTACATAAGAAGCTCCTAAATAGAGATCAACTGACCCCTACAACACTGCTGTATCCTTTAGTGATGTAGGTGGTCAAAGGAAGGAACCACAATATACAGTGGGGGTCACAGGCATCTGACACTCCCAGAAGTGTCGAATGCTAGACACCTATGGATGCTGCAGCCTTGGAATGGAAAGGGGATGTGAGACAGGGGTCTCTGGAGAGGTGAGTATATAAATGGATTACCTGTCGTTCTGTTAGCGACAATGAAGCTGCAAGTTCTGCCTTCCTGCGTATTGTGATGTAGCGACTATAGTGAAATTCCTTCTCCAATTCTAGGCGCTGATGATCTGTGTATACAACACGGTATTTGTCTTTTGTTCTGGTCTTTCCTGAAAGGGAAAACAGGCAGATGTCAGTGAGAGGCAAAGCTAAACATCACTGTGGAAAAACGTACACTGGTCTGCATATTTATTCCAAGTTGGTGACCCAGAAAGTACTGAAGCCATTGGCAGTCCAGGCTTAAAGCCAAATTCCAATAATATATTATTGCATGTATTTTTAATGCAAGCAGTGTACATTAAGTACCTTTAAGAGCAGAGTGACAGAAATGTGAGGTCAGTCTGCTGCTTCTCTTTTACTGTCCAATCAAAGGCAAGGGAGAATTAAGTTACTTAAAGCTGAACTCTAGGCAGAAATGTAAGAAATAAATGAATGCAGGCCAGTATTTATTAATACACCATTAAATGTTTTTAAATGCAAACAATTAAAGTACATACATTTGACATGGTATCAGTTTCTTGCATTCTCTGTACAACAGAGCTGAAGTATGAGAGGAAGAAGCAGAACAAGGAACCAGTCAGTCCATGTGCTGACAAGAAGCACGATAGTAATAGGAGAAAGCAGAGCGATGAGCTCATCATTGTGTTGTTTCTCCTTTTACTGTCCAGGAACGGAATGGAGCAGGTCCAGTGCAACTTGGGCTCAGGAAAAGTAAGATGAATGTTGCTGACTGTCAGACTGAAGACATTTAGCGACAGAAAATAAGGGGAATCTCTGAAATGAAGTTGAATATTACAGCAAAAGTAGGTTTGGTTATTTTACCTTTTGTGGGCTATTCATTTTTTTCTTGCTACTTTTGGCAGGAGTTCTGCACTTTAACTGCAGGAAACAAATCAGTTCTTTAAATTTTGGTTTGAGAGGACAAAACTACAAATCCTTTGGCAGAAAAAAGCTCCCTTATATGCATATCATCTGTGTATATTCTGTTTAGTACGGAGTTCAGCTTTAACTGCAGTAAATCAGCATTTGTGATCAGAATCCTAATGAGGCCTAAAACAGCTTAAAGCAGAACTAAACCCATTAATTTAAGTGTTTCCCAAAACAGTTACATTCAAGGTACGAATGATAATTACCAAGGTTGTACGTTACATAGTTAGTCTGGCTGAAAAAAGATAAAAGTCCATCCAGTTCAACCATTAAAAATAAAAAAGCTATAATCCTACACCCACAGTAGATCCAGAGGAAGCAAAAAAAACCCAGCAAAGCATGATCCAATTTGTTCCTCCAGGGGAAAAAAATCCTTCCTGGTCCCCTGAGAGGCAATCAGATATTCCCTGGATCAACTTTACCTATAAATGTTAGTATCCAGTTATATTCTGTGTATCCAAACCAAACTATATCTGCCCTCAACCAAACGGTCAAACCATCAATTGATTGGTGTCCTAGCTGATCATATGTACAGCACCATGGCAACTGCAGATCACACAGATGCAAAGATGGTAGCTTCCTTGGGTGTAAAGGGTGTAAAAGATAGGAGGGTTTAGTTACGCTTTAAGTTTCCAAAAATAGGCATTAAACAAGCTATGTTTGCCTTTCTATCAACTAAGCAAATGAAGGTTGTGTTATAGCTATGTAATCAAACAAATCTGTATTACAGCCAATATAACATTTACAGGTATATAGCAGAATAAACTATACTTAAGCTTGACAAAGACTGCATTTAACTATTCACTCTTTGAGTTATTTATCACTATAATTGTAAAGCACAAGTATGGATATTCTATGTTGCTAGTTTATGAATGCTTGTTCTGCCCTTTTAGGCATATTTAACCCATAATGCTTGATGAAATTTTTGGTGGCTTCCAAACTAAACCCAGTATGCCAAAGGGAATCTGAATGGAGCAATCTCAGATTTACCTTCAGGGGAACTGCAGAAAAAATAAAGTTACTGGGCTTCATTTAGAGTCCATTTCCGTTCCCCTGTGTAATTTCTTTATGGCACTATGACCCATTCCTTGGGTTGTTATATGGTAAACTTGGGTTGTTAAATGGAAAACAACCCAACTTTGAGATGAGCTAGCACTGCATGTAAAATGGAGCTGTGTTCCTGATAAAGTGTTCCATAACTTTACATACAGTGACTTATAATCGTTGCATTTTGAGTGGTCGGCCAAACCATGCCACTTCTACCAGCCAGTGTACCTCTGTTACCGCTGGACACATAACACGGATCTCTTGCGTGTTCTATGTTAACTCCTCCTTTCCCGTACTGTAAAGTCAGGCTGAGGACCTCTGTAACGCTGCTCTGCTCCCACTTTCTAGGAAGACTGACCGCTTGGGAGGGAGGCTGAGTAGCAACTCCCTCACTACCAAAGGACACCTCACATTATCCAGGTACCACACCTTGACTGGTTGCTTCCTGTCCTGAACTCGTGCTTGGTTACTCTTAGCAATTGCATTACTATTATTCTTATGTAAAACCAGACAAAGGTAGGCACACCCCTTTTGAGAACGTGCGCGCACGAAACGCATCAAGGAGGAGCCGTATGCCGTGACATCACGTCGCCGGAGCCTCACGAAGGTCCGTGTGGCCATTTTAGAGAGTGGCTGTTTAGCCACATTGGTTTTTTTATGCTGCATGTTTTCATTTATTTCCACGTGGAAGAATTTATAATGCCATTTTTATGTAATAAAATGGCAACATTACTACACTATGAGCATCTTCTTTCTTGGCTCTGCTTTGAGCTAAATGAATCCCAGGACCCCAGTGGAAGCATGGCTGCAGATGAAGCTTAAATCCAGAGGAGGGATCCTGATTCCATGCTGTCTGTCAGGTCCATTTAAAGGGGGCTTCCTGCAGATTCTGGTTCAACATATTGTGCTTTAATTTATGAGCATCTGGTGAGTGTGCATTTTTTTTTCAATCCTCCGCATGGATAAAGCCACACGGAATTATTGGATACTACTTGTGCAATAGGACCCGTTTGAAGCACTGTATGCTGACCTGATTGTGTCAAGCATTCAATACCAGGGGCGGACTGACAACTCCGCCCCTGGTAGTGAATGGGGCCCCCGGGCAATAAGGGATCATGGGGCCCCTGTGTCCTTGCCCAAACTCAAAAAAGCCAATGAAAAAGGTACCAGGGGCATCTCATGGGCCCCCTACTGACCCGGGCCCTCGGGCAGTGCCCGAGTTTCCAAATTGTCAGTCCGCCCCTGTTCACTACTTTATGAACACTTTTTGTTATAAGACTTTCACAGCTGCAATTACTTTATTGCGCCCAACATAACAATTCATCACTTATATTTGTTATCACTATTACTTAATATTGATTTATTGATTTATTAATATCATCATTAATAAGTATTTATTTATTATTCAATATTTCTTCAGTTCACACTAGGTAATGTTTTAGCGCTGCACTGGTTTCTATTCTGATTATTTTTATGTGCTGACTTGACACTGTAATGTAATATGCTTCATAATTCTCTTAGCTACTACAAGCCTATGTTGATACGCCAGCCCCATTATGCACCACTTTGAATAACTTCAGACTGGGCTCAAGGACAAAGTTTAAAAGTCTTTACTGATCACTTCAGTGGAAACAGTTAATTTTTCCTAACCCTGACTAACTAATAATTGTCCCAGGCATACCTTTTCAGGCATTAGTTCATAATGGCAGAGTCCATGGTTGGTGGCACCAAGGGTTATAGAAGGTGGAAGAGATGGCTTCTCCTAGTCTTGGACTGTAACAGCAGCAACACAGAAGCACACTGGAGCACTAGGGGTATCAGGATTCTAAGACAACTTTCAGACCTCAGTTTTCCTGCAATTTTACTGCAACCGCAGGTGAGCCAGCTGAAGTCTATAAAGGCCTGTGCACCAGAAGCAGCGAGCCTAACCCTTTTTTAACCCAGCTTGGGCCAGTACCTGACTTACTAAACAATTCCCAACCTGCTTACAAGTGTGTTGGTTGGAATTATGTCTCATAGAGGGTTATTGTGAGGGTTACAGCAAAATATGTCACCAATATACCTCGACCTGTTGTAAAACTGCCTTTATTAGCATATAATCAGCACGTCACACTAACAAAGGGCAACCTTTTGGTACCCTAGAATGTCCCTTTTCAGGTCAAATTGACAGGTTTGGGTTAGGTTTCAGGGAGGGTTAACGTTACCACACAGATTAGTGTTAGAGTTATTCAGGAGGTTAATGTGAGTGCTGGGACTGGGTGGCCTTTAAGTGGGGCACTGTACTAGCTGTTGGGAAATCTGTGCTGAAAACTACCAGTGATGAGCTCCCAGCTCTAAAAGTTAATGTCCGCAAAACATGCATACAGACCATAGCTTATACAAACATTGGCTGTCATCTTGTCATCATAATATTGGTTAAATTGAGCATCTTGACACATGCATTGATTAATAAAGAGCCAAAGCTGTTCAGGGTCTGTTGACCCTATGTGGCAAGCTTTAATTTTCACACTGATAAGTAAGAGGCAAAAGGGTTAATAGTTGCTTTGTAAAATCAAAGGAACGTGCTGCAAAGTTTGTCTAGCACTTAAGTATCGATTTTTCCTTTCTTTGCCAACCTATATTATATTTAATGTTAGGTTATCCCTTTTAAACCAGGAGTCTCTCTGTCTGCGGAGAGATTTAAAATAAATTATTGCATTTCCACAAATCAATAATGTAAGATGCACAACTCAATTTGTTTACAACATGCTCGCTGAATCACTATTCCTTCAGCCTCATTGATATACACTATATTGCCAAAAGTATTGGGACACCACTGCAAATCATTGGGTTCAGGTTTTCCAATCACCTCCATGGCCACAGGTGTATAAATTCAAGCACCTAGGCATGCAGACTGCTTCTACAAACATTTGTGAAAGAATGGGTTGCTTCTTAGGAGCTCAGTGAATTCAAGCGTGTTACCGTGATAGGTTGCCACCTGTGCAATAAGTTCATCCATGAAATTTCCTTGCTACTAAATATTCCACAGGCAACTGTTAGTGGTATTTATGAAAAAGTGGAAACAACTGTAAGCCACGTAAAATGACAGAGCGGGGTCAGTGCATGCTGAAGTGCAC